TCAACAAGGACGACGAGAGAAGAAGCATGGTGTACGGCCATCTTCTCTGCCCTAGGAGACAAAGCCGCCTATTATGAAAAGGTCAGTTTGACACAACTATATGACATCTATGTTCATGGATCCTGATATGTGTTACCTGCAGCTCGCTTCGAAACAACTCGTGGGCATGCTGATCGTGATCATCGTAAAGTCCTCATTGAGAACCTGCTTCTCAAATGTGATCACCTCATCTGCCGGTATCGGATTAATGGGCATTATGGTAAGTGGATGATATGGTTACTGCGGCGTTGCTTTGTACTCAACTCCTGTGCTACTACCTAGGGCAACAAAGGCGGGACAGCTATTCGACTCACGTTTACTCCACCTCCATCCGATAGACTCCAACAGAATTCATCAAAGGATGTTGACGGCTCTTCGTCGGAGGGCGGACCAACGACAAAGGACAAGTCTCATTCAAATGACTCCGACACTTCTGCAATACGGAAAGCGAGATATTCAAGTGAATATGACGACATCAAGCAACCCGGACCGACGACACTCACGTTCGTGTGCTCACATTTGGCTGCGTTTGACGAGATGGTAGACAAGCGCAATTCGGACTATCAGGACCTGGCGAAACGACTGGTGTTCTTGGAGACACCTGATGTTGTTGGCTCCGCGGGTACTAACACTTCTGGACCTGGAGCCGTGTCTCCACCGAGAGCGGCGAACGTCAGCGGTGGCAGCGGTATCTCGACTGATTCGGGTAGGAGCAACATCAATGGTGTGCCAGTGCGAAGGGCGACGATTCAGGTTGAGCCGCCGGCCAATGCTCCTCCTGGGCCTTCCGGACCTACGACAGTCTTGGAAAGGTATAATGTGTTCGAAAGTGACGTGTTGTTCTGGATGGTGAGGATGCATTGTCGCTACCCTCGAATCCTTGACTAGCTTTCTGACACTTGTTCTACAGGGCGGTAAGCGGCCGAATCATGTCGAATCGCAGACTTTAGAGTCTGAAATTATTTCTAGACTTAAATTACCGATTAGACCTGCCCGATTCCGATGTCCGAACGATACTAGGCGCTGAACATTGGGACAGCAAGTTCAATGCATTGCTCAAGCATGATCAGGTTTGATCTCTCGCGGCTCTTCCATCTGTAGATGCTCAATGGTTTGTCGCCCAGCTCAAGAATGCAATGCGGGATAACAAGGCATTTGACTTGTTCTCGGAGCATCCCATTGGGCATCTTCCGTGAGTTGGGTCATAACCTTTACTTCTCCGAGAAAAACTGAACGGACGGATACTTTCACAGGACTTATCGATTCAGCAGTGGTATCATGACAGACGACCTTGGATATGATATCAAGTGATGGAGATTATTCTCTTGCTGCGGCCTGTCACTTACCCCGTCTCGACAGGCGAAAACCAGCGTGGACTGACCGCGTCCTCTATGCACATTCCTCCCTTACATCATCGGTCCTCCACCGTTCATATGCCGGACATCCCGAAATCACGATGAGCGACCACAAGCCTGTTTCTGCGGACTTCACAGTCGATGTAGGTTCCATCTCTGAGTCATCTACGCTTCTCCCGGCTGAACTCTGTGAAAGGTTGATGTATACGATAAGAATGAGCTGTCTACGACTGCAAAGCATCTGTTCAGACAACTGCACGGGATCGAAGAAAATCAATCCAGGGGAAAGACCCAGTTAAGTCAGAGCGCAATCGACCTGGGAGAGATTGTGTGGGTTTTGCTCTTGATCTCTCCTCGGCAACGTTCTAACTGAGGCACCTCAGTTATAACAAAGTAGTCAAGCGGACGTTTACGATACGGAACACGGGCAAGGTAATGCTCACCTACCCTATGGTGGAACACTCAGGCGCTCAAGTTTACTTTCATCTCAGGTTCCGTCTGCCTTCCGATTCGTGCCTCTCGATACAGGGAGCGAGATTCGTAAGGCTTTTCAATATCAAGGGTCATATCTTTTCGCTGACTTTCGCCTCCACCTCCATAGACCCCGATTGGTTGAGCATATCGCCGTTGACGGTATGTTCAATCACTTCACATTCCAGTTCTTCACGCATGGTCTCTTGACTTATGGTGGTAAACTCTTTCAGGGTTTGATTCTTCCAAGCGAGGAATTGGAGATCGTTCTTTCCGTACTCGTTGATGACCGCTCTGCATCGAAACTAAATCTAGGGCCGAGGGACCTGGATTGCACCCTCATAATGCATACGCTACTGGGCAAGGATCATTTTATCACCGTTTCAGGGAAATACCGTGGGTTCTTTAGTCCTATCGAGTGGTTGGCGCAGCATACACATTCACCTGTGCAGAATATACTTGTTTCGCAAACAAGCTGTCACGGCTGACCAGACTTCCCGGACCGATTCGTTCATTGAAGGGTCCGGAAGACCTCTTGCATGAGGAACGTGCGATCAATGCTCCCCGGGAAATTATGCGATTGGTCAACTGGATGATGACTGGTGGCCATCATGCTGTGGTACTGTGGTGTTCGATAATTTATTGGACCCTCCACACTTATACGTCAACTGTTGCAGGAAGATATTTTTGTGAATTATGCCGATCAAGGCATGGTGGAACAGATCAGAGAGGTCAAAGCTGTTTCTCATGCGGGGCGAATGACCATTCTAATAGTTGATAACAGTGTCTTGATACCGGCGAGGAGTTCCCCTTCTCAGACGGGGAGAAGGACGTCAAGACTCTCGTTGCCTTTGGGGAAACCCTGACCCAGTTGCTGGGGTCTTTACCGGAAGAGATCATTCCAGACGTGTTGCACAGTCAATGTGGGCAGGCAGCAAGTCGAGATGAAGCTTTCGAAGTGAGCTTTGATCTTCAATCAGCACTCTAACGCAGAGTAAATCACACTTTGGCATCATTCTAGATTCTAGATGCTTTACCACCAGCTGCCGTCAATGTACGTGGCTTGGTTTTGGTGGCAGGCGAGTATGAGGTACTAACGACGTTGACTTTAGGTATGGATATCGGTAACGGCTTTCCTGCATTTTATTGTACAGTCTTCGGCTCAACCTGAGGCGCGAGCGGTGAAGATCGGTGAGTTACCTGCCCCTACAAGCCTCGATGAATGGCTAAGTGGTATCGTTCATGTCAGCTGCGAGGTTTGCACCCATCCTGTTTCGGGCCCCGACGATCTCACCTCTCTTGACTCATCGCTTCCTGCTCTACTTCATCCAATGAACGACCAAAGACGTATCACCCATTGACTTCGCTAGATCTACAACACAGGGATAATTATTCTTATCATTATACAGTACTTCATAAAGTCTATCTAGGCAAACATCTTTGCGAATGCCTTCTTCTCTTTGTCTCGCTTTTCCTTCTTGCGCTGCTTGACCTTAGCGAGCTCTCCTGCGATAGCCTGGTCGTCGGGAACAAGTTTGCTAGCCTCTGTAAGATCTTTCTCTGCTTCGTCATCATCCTTTCGAAGGACACAGGCGAGTGCGCGTCGATAGAGGGCCTTAGCTGGAAGAACGAAGATCAGCCCGCGAAGTAACGGTGTCCATTGCACCACTCACCTTTGTCGGCAGTGCTGAGCTCCAACCCCAGGGCGCGAGTGGCGGATTTGACAGCTACATCTGCGTTAGACGCAGAAGGCGGTTGGGTACGAATACCGGCGAGCGCAGAGTTGAGGAGCAAAGGAACGAGAAGAGCGCTATAAGATTGCTTGATTTCTTCGGATGCATCTTCAGGCAAGTTGTAATGAACATCTAGATATCGAATAGATTCTGGGCATTGCGAATGTTAAGTCTTGTCCTAGCGGGTGTTGCGCGTGAGATGAACATACTCTGGTATTTGGCCAAGGCGAGGTCGTGTTTGCCTTCCTTGAAAAGCTTGTTTCCAAGTTCCCGTACTTTGGTAGCAATCTCGAGGGCGACTTCAGGTTTAGAGATGTCGTGGTCGTCGTCGTCCGGGTAGTCTTCGTATGGATCCCCGTCAGTGCCGACTTCTTCTGCGGTGAGGGAGGGATCATCAGGAGAAAGGACGCCACAGTCTTCAATGACGATCGGCTCAGTGGGTTTGTCTCCGTTACTCGTTGGGTAGTTTTCGATCTGGCGAACTGGAAGGGCTGTGAACACACTGAAGATTTGCTGTGGAGGACTCGTGATCCATACCAATTGATTTGCCCTTGATCACCTCCCCGAAAACGACGTGTTTTTTATCAAGGTGGGACGTCGGTGTTGTGGTAATAAAAAATTGAGAACCATTCGTATTTGGTCCAGCATTTGCCATTGAGAGCAAGAACGGCTTAGTGTGGTCTACGGGGAATGCTTCATCCTCAAATTTCTCGCCGTATATCGATTCTCCTCCAGTTCCTGTAATGCAAATAAGAGTACCCACGTCAGATCAGCGATGATTCAATAAAGAGGCCCGAGTTCGTACCATTTCCAGCCGTGAAGTCACCTCCCTGGCACATGAACCTGTTAACGAATCGACGCTCCAGACAATCTATTCCTTGCCGTTTGAAAGGGCTGAAGAAACCACAAGCTTACGATTTGATTACACGGTGGAACCCGGATCCCTTATAGTGAAGAGGCTTTCCGGACTGCCCTGTACCCTTTTCTCCGGTACATAACGCGCCTATCGAAAGTTGAGCGATTCAACTCGATCGGAGAAGAAGTAGGCGCGACATACGGAAGTTTTCTGCTGTTTTGGGAACGAGGTCGGAGTAGAGAGAGAAGATTACTCTTCCAGCGGACCTCCCACCTATAGAGATGTCGAAGAAAGTAATGGGACGCTCAGAGGAAGCCATGGTCGTTGCAGTTGAACCAAAATCGGATGGAATTGTTGACAATGTTCAAATTATAGTACCTTGTTTACGTAAATGTAGAATATTCGTGAACTTTCTATGACATTCGCATTGATCGTGGGGCACTCGTGAACAGAGGACGGTCTTGAGCCTCATTCCGGCAGTAGAAGAATCGAGGAGAGGCAATGGCTACGAATTAAGAGAGGTCATCCAGAAACGACAAAAATCAATGGCCAACGTGGGGATCGAACCCAAGACCTTCGCGTTGAATGGATCGCCAGGGACCGCATATTAGCACGACGCTCTAACCAACTGAGCTAGTCGGCCATAGCAGTGTATTGCGTCTAAAGAGGAGTTGAATGTCCGAGTCATTATCACAAAATGAGGAGGTAAAAGAACAATGTAAATAGCAAGTACAGAAGGATCAGTTGAAGGTCCGCTTGAATTGAGCGAGATACTCATAACCTTTCTTCCTAGGCCCAACACACATCCCATGATCGGCTGCAACAATCACGAACCCAACAACCAAAACTACAACAGCGGTGAGGACCAGCCAAGTGGCATTTCCCCACGCGGTGCGAATTCCGAGGTCGTTGAGTTGCTTCGCCATAACGGCGAATAAAGCCATGTCGATAATCCAGGCGACGAGTGCGAAGAGTGTTGCAGAGCCTAAGTCGTATGAATCAGGACTTTGCAATCAGAATATCTATCGGCGGCTGCACTGACCGAGAAAAATTGGCACCAGACGCGTCAAGTTCACTCCGATCTCTATGTCACAAAAGGCAGATAGGATAGTAAGACCTCCGAAGCCCGTCGCTATGATTGTGATAAGCCCCTAGCCCCGAGTCGCCCGCGACAGGTCGGTGAATGAAGTGGAAGCATTACCAATTGGGTGAAGTATGAGAGCCTTTGAGAGCGTTTCCAATCGTTCCATCGTCTCCTGCGCCTCGCTTTCATTAGCATGCCTTTCAATGAGACCATTTCAGTGATGATACCGCTGCAGTGACCGGAAGCTATCTACTGACCTTATACCCAGGGGATTCAGGTCGAGATCCTGATACCCGACGCCCAGGCGAGTCGTATGACTAAACCCGAAGGTGCCGAACCGTATCGAGGTCGTGTTTAGCGTCTCAGATCCAGCTTCCATAAAGTAGACACCCTCCAAGATTGGGGAGGACATGCACACCTAAGAAGTTCGAAGGTCAGTTTCAACTTGGGCAGAGAGCAGAGACACGCGACGGAGACGGTTGTAGCTTACAAGGAGGAGGAGAATTGTTGCGATAGACGAGAGAGCGAGAGCTGGAACCTCTGAAGCGGCCATGATACGAAGTTTCCAGAGGTAGTGTTCATTTTTAAGACGAATGGCCTGAATATAATTTCTCCACGATGTCAGTCGATGGCAATGCACCATCGACGACCTTTAAGTTCGCCTACATTCAGGATGAAAGCTGTTGAAAGGATCGGAACGAGGTCCGTGCTCGAAGGCAACCTCTTGGATAGTAGACCACGCTCTCAGATCTATGGCAGTCACTCTCGGGGCATGAGACTCAAGCCGCCAGTAGAAATAAGTCAGCTCCGCGAGGGACTCCCTACCTACTTCGAAGATGAGATTCAGCAAGAGACCCTCACGCGGCCACAACGGAACACGGCGACGGACAATCAAGCCCGTCAGACAACTAGGGAGTGATATCTTTATTGAAGACCCCGGTAAGAGTTTGAAGAAGGCGATACCCTGTCAAAGGAGAGTTGAGTGAGCTGGTCCTCTGGTAATGGTACGAATCGCGGGTGACATTGAAGAACTATTGAGTTCAACTTCCAAAAGCATGGCCATCGGCAACTGCGATAGCGTCAGTGAGCTTCGCACCAATATCTGACAGCCACTTACCGGAGTGAATTGGGAGGTATGGAGTGCTCAGGAGTCAGTCGTCTCGTCTAGTCGTGGCAGCACCAACTCCGGAGGAAAATTAGGGTCATTCAACATCATTCGCCACTTTGACAGTCGTGGCTTCGAATATAAGCAATGATGGCTGAGTATCCTACGTCCTTGTGAGTCCCAGAGGAAAAGACCGTCAACCAGCCGAATCGATGTAGGTTCGTGTCGTTCAGAAAGCGGTGCTTGTTACCCACAAGAAGAAAGCGATGACTCGTTGACCTGAGTTCATTGCAGAAGAGTTTGTTTTGGGAGACATTCTTTCCTCCGGCAGCCTGAGTTTACTGAACTGTGTATGGATATTGTGGACCTCAAACAGAACGTAGGAAGCAGGGCAAAAGTAGCCTGAGGAATGCAATTCACGGTCAGAAGGATGAGATCATGGTGATTGGAGCGAGAAGACGATAAGCGCCGGTTGGACTCAGAAGTTACAGCTATTACTAACCAACAGGGTGAACTGTCGGTTGGATCCACAATAAATACTATACATAACTAAGTAGATATACAGTTACAGATATTTGAGCACATAATATATAATTCAACTCAAAGTCTTATGCTGTCAAGATACGCGCGACGGACAGGGTGCTGCTCTGCCTCCTGCCCGAATATCAGCGGTGGTAGATCCGCCTCCAAATAGGATGTATCCGAAGTCTTAGAAACCAAGAAGCTCAGTTGAATCCAGCCCGGTACGTAAATCAAACATACCTTGTACATCGCCCACATCCGTAATTCGGTCCCCAGACCAGTGCTCAGTGTATAGTGGTGGTATGCACCAGCCGGAATCAGGACTGATTCTCCTTCGTCGAGGGTCAGACGAATGGTAGAGTTTGTCCATGGTTCTGAGAGCGAGTAGAGAGTTAGAGATTGAGGTGAGCTTGCGCCATGACCCGAAATCGGGCTGGAGACATACCTTCGATATCGAGATACGCGTGTCCGCGTGTAAACATCCACAAAATATCGTACGGTTCAATTACCCTGCAGAGATGCGAGTCAGTGCCAGTTCGCGGGAGAGACATAGATAGTCAGACTAACCTCTCCTTCGTGTAATAACCTAGCAACTCCTTCATGGCCTTCGCTCTCGGTTAGGAGATTGTATGGGAACAAACAGCGAATCGTCTACTCACCTCGACTGTCTCGGTAGCCGGCACGTCAAATCTCAACACCTCACCCTCCCATGGGAACCCAAGCTCTTTAGAAATCGTCTTGAACTGTTCTTCGAGTGATAATGACGAGTGTTGTTTGGGATAGAGCTGATACTTGAGAGTTTGAAGGGTTTCATGGGAAACGGGTCGTGGTGTAGTATAACCATCGACGTTTGTAGAGCTAAGGTCGCCTGATAGCTTGCTGTGGTAGTGTGCGCGCATTGTGAGATGGTATTGTTGGTGCAAAAGTGGACCTTGACATGGGGTATTTGTATCGGCAATTGTCCCAGCAGGTTTCCTCGTGTCACAGGAACATATCCGCGAGAGAAGTGACGAAACATGAACACGTTCGGAGCACGCGCAGAACCGAACCGTCAGCCTTTCAATGTGTAAGGTGTTGGTGGCATGCCTGCCAAACCAGTGTCGAGCGGCCAACACGTTGACTTTTCATATGCCCCTGAGTACCAGCCTGTACTGGCCAAGAAGCGATGCCAGTGTCAGTGTCCTCGACTGTTTGCAACGTTTTCAGACCAACGGAGCACTATTGATGACGAACATGAGCTTGATTGAGTCACAAGAAATGAGGCATGCGCACCGAAAATGCCTGTCATTTAGGAATATATGCTCGGAATATCATATTACCTTCGACTTGAAAACCAGGTGTACCACTCTATCAACGGACCACTCCAGAAACAATTTTGTGCGGCCAAAACTCGGAGTTCTCTTTGAGTTTGCGTTGTTGAGATTCCGCGGTCTTGAGGTTCTATGTAGCATGGACAGATATTTCGGAGTGGCGAGCTCATGGGATGGTCATGAGCAGTATAGAGTAATGGATGATCATCGGCCTCCATCTTGAGTACTATTCGAGTTTTGCGGAACTTTGTTCTAATGTGTCCACTGTTCAGTGCAACGTCCTGGACTCCTGGCAGTGACAGCCCTTTGCGAGAAGGATTGCACAAGTTGGGAAGATGAGATATATAAAAAAATAAATCAAGAAGGGTTGAGACGAGCGGTAAACCCGCTTCAAACGCCTCCGAGTTAGTCTCCCCAGGCTGACTCTCACGGCTGCGGGCACTTACCTCCGAGTCCGCCCTAAACATCTCCGAATCCACTCCAAACCTCTCCAAACACCTCCGAATCGACATCAAATATCTCCGGGGCCACAGTTACCTACGAGCGCCCCTCGAAACACCTCTCAACCTCTCCCGTAGAATGTCCAAAACATCGGGCGGAAATAGCCCGAGAAACCGTTTGCCTCCACTTCCACCGCAGCTCTCAGGTTTTCTCACAAGGGCCACTACGACTTCTTGCAGTCTCAACGGTATATTTAGGAGGATTTTGAACACTTCTCCGAGCTTCTAGATGGCGCTGCGGATATGGTCAATGTTACATATAAGAGACTCCCAACTCCGAACGAGCTCTCCACGACATCTCCAAGCTGAGGCCTCTCGGTCGTATCACTAGTACGGTATATCCCAATGGAATCCATCAAAGTTAACGGGCAACTCCTTGGTCATGGCTCTGGGACAGCGATACCAAAACTACCCCCACAGTCACCGACGTTCCCCTCTCTCCCTGAGGATGATAGTGACCTCGATGAGGACGGTATGCTCATCACAAGCTGGGACGTCCTTCTCTACTGCATCCCTCATCCCTCACGACCCAAAGTATTACATTGACGAAAAGATGGTCATTCTTCATGTAATTTCACGCCTCGTTCAACTTCTCACCTCATACTGACATTTTGTTGATCGTTGTCCGTCAGGTGGATGAGACCCTTTTCACAGCTCATCGTCACCTCTTTCGTCGTGAATCTGAAGTTCTCGAGCACATGTTCGACTCTCCTCAGCCCCCGGAAGGTGCAGAGGGTGACTCGGACGATAATCCAATTGTGATTCCAGACGTCACCCGAGCGGAATTCACCACTGTGATGGATTATATCTACGAAGGGTGCGGTCATTTCTGTCTTGGTCCAACATCGTCCATTGATATAGCTCTATACCAGGTCGCTCTTCAAAGAAAAATCCAGACAAGAAACGTCTCGCGAGGAGTACATTGACCTGCTCTCAATTGCTACTCACTTCGTGCGTATCGAGGCTCGACAAAAAGCGATTCTGGGGATCGAAACCTGCGGCCTTGACCCCAATCCAAAAACTGGTGCTTTCCGAGATGTATGATATCCCCCAACGGCTCATGCCTTCTTACGTCGAATTGTGCCAATGCGACAAATCCGCTTACTCCTGATGAGGGCCCTT